AAGTAAAATGACAGTCCAAGGTCATACCTTGGCTGGAGTCAGAACCAGGATTTAAGGTTTCAATTATTTGTTAATGTTCTCTAAACTACTCTCTTATGTAAATTATTTAATCTCTAATAATACTAATTAATTAATTTGTTAATTAATTTAATATTCTTGAGCCTCATTTTCCTCATCTGTAAAATGGAAATAAAAAAGATTTTCCTTATAATATTGGGAGAATTTAATGCATAATGTGTGTGAGGAGCCCTGGTGGCATAGTGGTTAAGAGCTCGGCTGCTAACCAAAAGGTCGGCAGTTCAAATCCACCAGCTGCTCCTTGGAAACCCTATCGGGCAGTTCTACTCTGTCCTGTAGGGTCGCTATGAGTCAGAACTGACTTAATGGCACCTAACAACAATGTGTGTGAAGGGACTATTAACAGGCCATACATAGTTATAGTAATGTTAACTATTATTATTTTAGAACATCCCTAAATATAAATTAGAACACTAATCTGGAATGACTCCAGGGAGGAATGAAGAGAGAACTACTGCAGAAGTCCTAATTTATTCCTAAGCAACTAGCTATCTTCTACTGTACTGGGAAAGCAGAATCTTTCTCTCCCATGGACTCTGAGTTTTATATAACTGTATGTTGCCCTTCCTGAGCACTCAATTCAGATTTATTACTGTTTAATTTTTACTACTCTTAATTCTGTTTCACTGGCATAATTTATGATAATCAGATAAAGAGTTAATCTGAGGCATAGATAAACCTATTGTCCTATGAGAGAGGGGTTCTGTACTACTTTGCAATTATCTATTTTTCGGACTTTCTTCCCCGTTAGACTACAGATTTTCAAGAGCACTATCAAAATCCCATTGCTATCCAGTCGATTTTAACTCATAGTGACCCTATAGGACAGAGTAGAACGGCCCCGTAGGATCTCCAAGGAGCAGCTGGTGGATTCGAACTGGTGACCTTTTGGTTAGCAGCCATAGCTCTCAACCACTGTGCCATCAGGGCTTCTTCAAGAACAGTAATCATGTCTTACTCATCCATTTATATCCAGAGGCTAGTAAGTTCTTGGCTCATAGTAGACACTTAATAAATGAGTGTTACATGAAAGAACAAATAATTGAATGAATGAAAGGTAAAACAATCCTAACACAGACATGACATTTTGGAGCTATCTTCCAAATCTGAGATACAGCTAATTTAATAATGACATTACTGTTACCAGAATTTCTAAGGCTTTATTAAGTATTTATACCCATTAAAAGATAGTTGCGGCATCTACTACGTGAGAACCAACTTTGGGGCATTAATAATTCACATAACTGATATTGTGAAATATCAACAGTAAAAATAACCCCTTTCCACCCTTCTTTCTTTAGCACTGCAGGGGGCTATAGCTCCATCTGTTACATTTGACTAAGGCAGCCCTTTCTCAGGGAGAGACTTGGAGACTCAGAATGTCTAGGCCTCTACTTCATGGGGTACAACATGAGCACGTTAGAACACAGACTCCAACAAGTACACTGATGAAAAGTCCCTACTGAGATATTTGGAGATAACAACATTCACTGGTGAAGTTTTAGCCGTTCCTGAGGTTGCACCCTCTTGGTATGAACTCACAGAGTAACAGGGTTTAGAGAATTTCCAGTTCTTAGAGCACCTGCCTGTTTAGGACTCTTTCACTTCTCCTGCAATGAGGAGGACTCTGCGCTGAAACACACTTAGACTGTCCACTGTGAAAATATGACAAGATGACAAGTTACACTATATTCAGACAGAAGGAAAAAAAAAAAAGAAAACTGTTCACATAAGGGAACACAGCAACATAATATTTCAGGAAGCTAGAGTGTTATGGATACATATAATGCTCTCATTCCTTTCCAACTGTAGAGGTAGAAGGAGAAGGGGGAAATGAGGGAGTGTCTGTAAGTCCTTGCCACTCTTAGAGATCAAGATAATGGTCTTCTGCTGTGCTATTACTACATAAGTTGTAAAACTCCCTCTCTCCCCAACAGGCAACTTGGCTCTGGGAGAATCACATTAGACATGAATTCATAGGATCCTGCCCATTCCACAATTTTATTACCAAAAACATGGGCAAATGAGATGCAGGGTTACGCTCCTGGTTTTCTATGGTTGTTTGAGCTTCCCTTAGCACTTCCCTGGGACTGGTTGTTTGGCAATGGCCACAGAACCAGCCCATATGTCGCAAGAGTAAATGGCAACATGGGGGCCTTATGATGCTTGGCTATACTCTGGGAAGCAACTGGGGAGAGGGAGTAGGAGTGGATGAGAAGGAAGTTTTTTACCAGCTGATACTAATAGGACCTGTTAAAGTCTCACATACATATTATCTTTTCCATGTCCTTCCATTGAATTCCATAGTAAGCAAAGTGGGATTGATTACTGCTACAATGCCTTCCTTACTAATTGTTTACACTAAAGTTGTCTCCTCTCTGGCATCTTTTCCCTTAATGCTTATTTTAAATTTATTTCTCCAGGATAAATGTCAGTGTGCATGTGTGTGTGCATGGGCATGTTTATGTGAACAAGTGAGAAGATGGACAAAAAGATACAAAGGCCTCAGGAATTTTGGCTTCTCCCTTAATATGCCTCTAGACTCTTTCCACTCCCTAAGGGAAAGCTCTCTTAGAGCACTGAAGGATTTTCTACCCCACTCTTTGTCAGTTTTTCTTTAAGGCTACAGAAATGAGACAGAAGAGAAGGTAAAAAGGGAATACCATTTGTTGCCAATGTTTCTGTGGGTATGTGGGGCTGAGGTGGTTACTCAATCAGAATAGTTCCTACTACAGAAAACACTATTTGCCTCTGCCCCACTAGGACATATCAATATAATAAGCCTTGCTATGATCATGGCTATACCCAAACAAGTGAGGAAACAAAAGGTATCTTGCTATTCCCAGTATGGCTCAGTCCTAGAGAAAATTGGATCATTCCCAGATGGACACATTTGCTTCTTAAGGGACTACCTCTACAGATTTGGATCTGACACAAAGAAGCTTGGGCCGTTTGATCCAGGGTCCCCTGACCCTCTTTGTCCCACCTTCTTCCCCTCACCCCATTCACTTGGATATTCTCGCTCAAGCCGGTTTTGGACAAATCTAATTCCCAGATTATTCAGATCTGAGTTCCCAGGATTGAATAAACACTCCCAAGAACAGTGGATGGTAGAATTGAAATCTAATGCTTGGTGTGAACAGGTCCATATCCTCTCCTAGGCAATTGAATTGTTACAAAATATCCATTTATGAACTGACAAAATTGGAATGACCTAGGAAGCTTGTTAAACTAGGCTATATAGCCAAAGATTTTGCTTCAGTAAGTTTGATAGGCAGCCAGGTTTGCTATGTTGGCGAACTCCAGTTCTAGACCATTGAGACTCAAATCAGAAGTCATTCTGGACAGAGCCCTTGAGCCTTCATTTGATGTAGTCACTTCCACGTTGTCCAGCCAACTTTGATGCCTGATTTTCAAGGGCAGGAATTGTGCCACTGTATAATATCTAAGTGGAAGGAAACCAGGAGTCCCAATAATAGTCTGTTAAGTTATTCTCACAAACTGATCCATTGAGACTCTTCTTTCTGTCACACTGAGATCCAAAAATAGCTGTATAAAGGGATCATGGACATAAGGCCACCAGATACATCAATGTGCACACTTATGTGCCTATGTGTGTACACACAATCATATTTCTTATCTCTGGGAGCTATGGACAAAGTCAGCCAAGCCCTTGGCCAGGGCTGCCATGAATGACTGCTCAGGCTGTACGCTGCATAGCTCTGGGAACCATTCTCACAGATTGCAATGTGAATGGTCCCTCTGCAGTTGTGCAATGCACTGATCCTTGGAAAAAGTGAGACATTATATTAAAAACCAGAAGGAGCCCACCACTGAGGAAGCAAACACAATGTCTGGAGGTGGAAATTTGGCAAAATGCAATGGGATTGTCTTCTTGCTGTGCAGCTGGGTCACAAACTCAGCTCTCAGCACGTGCACACGTGTGTGTATACACTCTACCTCCTGGCCTTTCCCTTTCTCTGGTCCAGGCTGATTTGCAAGAGCTTCCCTTCCATACCTCTGTACCAGAGATGGATTGAGAAATGCCACAACAAATTAGAAGTGGAGAGTTAGCTCATGGTGGGTGGTCCCCCAACGCAAGCTTCCTCCAGGGTTCTGGAACTGTTTATGCCAGTCTTTGCAAAGTTTATCTCCAGAGCCCTTTTCCTGAAACCCAATCCCAAGCCATAAAGCACGTTCATTTCATGCAACACAGCTCAGTTGATGCTTATAGCTCCAAATACCTCAGTTTACTGCGTATAACTCAATTGGGGTTACCTAGCATGAAGAAACATGCACAGCGCAACAACAGGGAGCGTTCAGACCAAACAGGAAGAAGTAAAGGAGCTGCAAAGCTAGAGGAGGATTAGCTTTCCTCATTTCAGTTCAAGAAAAGCTTCTTGCCTCTATAGTGCTCTGGTTTGGGGCAGCATTTGCCCTTGGCTTTGAGATGATATTATAGTCAAAGGAAGTCAGATAAATTCCCAGGCTTCTCTGGGATCAGGGGCTGGAGTCTTCCCTCAATTGCAGCCCTTTCCTCAAAATCAGTTCCAGGCCTTTGCATTTGTTTTATGAAATGATGGACTAGTCCTGTGAATTTCCTCCAATCTCTTCCACTTTGCAAACTCCAGAACCATTTGACTGATAAGTAAAACCCCAGGGGAGAACTGATTGAGAGCTATGACTTCAGACATGCAAAGCGCTGGGAAAACAGCAACATCTGGGACAGGAGGCTCCCATCACTTCACATGAGAATGGCATGGGTTTTGCAAATTAAACACACAGAAAACCAGTGGTGGCCCAAGTTGGACATACTGTATGGAATGCACAGTTTAGTGAGGACCTGGACCAGGGAGCCGCCTGTTCCTCTAGCTCACATACATTTATTTCACACCACCTCAGGCCACTCACGGTTTGCTTACCTGCTCATTGTTGCTCTCCCACCATTCCCCATACTCCCTTTGGGGGTGAAACACTCTATTTCCGACTTGTGCTGGGCCAGTCTCCTGTCTTTGTACCTGGTGAGCATGAACAAGGACAGGAGCAAACAGAAAGACGTGATTGTGTGCTTGACCGCCAGGCTGGGGAAGAGCCGTGGCTGCAGAGAGGGCCACCCCATGCTGAAACGGGTTCCTGTGATATCCGTTAGATGATTGTGACGTTATTTATATAATGCTGGGGATGATTTTGTGACTTCTTAGTTAAGCCACATGTAGTCTACCCTTTACATTACCTATTAATCTATTACACTTAATAATCAGTAATAAAAGGAATGTAATTCCTAACATCTAAGAAATGGATGAATATCAATAAATTAGAATTTATTTAGTGCTCACCATATGCCAGGCAGTGTAACAGAAATTTACCTAAATTTAATCCTGACAACATCCTTGTGGCAGAGGCTCTGTTATTATTTCCATTTTACAGAAGAGGAAACCTAAGATTTTAAGGGTTAAATAAATTGACCAAAGACACACAGAAAGTGGTGGGGCTTGGATTTGAACTCAGGGGGCTTAAGTCTAAAACCTACATTTTTAACCATTATAAAGTATTGACTTCCATTATCAGTTTTACAAAAACATTATTAACGAATCTTCATTGAGTGTTGCTATGCCTGAGTATTACGTTAGACACTAAGGATACCGAAGAAAGAATGCACGTTCCTTGGACGTGAGAGGTTTATATAACAAGCTGAAGTTTGACCATCAGTATTGGACTGCCTAAATTGTGGAGGGTGGCTTATCAGAATTGGCAATGCCTCACTCCTGGAGGGAGCCAAAAGCTTCATCTACAATAAAGTGTGAGATTCCCAACATTAATCTGCTATTTGGTATATCAGGATGAGCCCTTATATTTGAATGAAAATTTTCAAAGCCAAAATGCTTTCACAGAAATAATTTGTTTTACTTATCAGTTTAAGCTTGTGGGGTAGATAAAATAGGTAGTGTTATCTACATCTATGAAATGAGGAAACCATGACTTAACTGACTTAACCAAAGTCACAAGTCAGTGGAGATTAACCGCCAATAGCGCTTGCACGTAATCATTTCCTTTCTAAAACTGGGGCTGGAAATGATACCACTTTTTCCATGTTCCTGTATTCAATAGGTAAAGATAAAGTGAGTTACTAGCATATTTAGTAGACGTCTTTACCTTGAAATAGTCACATTATTTATAGTTTTTTTTCCTGCTGTCTCAAAATTAATATAAAATGCAACAAAATGAAAATAATTATTGGTTCTGAGGTACAGGCCTTTTATTTTCTTCTTCTCTTCTAAGATGTTAGCAATATTTAATATTAGACTGAAAATGGCTCCTTATATCAAGCTAAATACGTATATAATAAATTGATTTATTCAGTAGACATTAACTGAGCATCTGTCGAGTTCCAGGATATGGGCTTTGTACGAGCAAAGAAGGAGAGAACTCATCCACAGGTCCTGCCTCATAGAGTCTAGTTGGAGAAGGAAGGAAAAAAGATAGTATGTACATGAGTAACTTTAGGTCTAGGCCATAAACAATAGAGGACAAATATTGAAAGACTTTGTCAGAGGAGGTGAAGCATCAAAACAAACCAGAATGAGTAGCCTTTATTTCACCAAGAAAACTGCTCTTTAAAATGAATCCTTGTAAAGTACCAGTCAAATCATCACATGCCACTCCACACTTGAACAGAAATATTTTCTGATTATTTTTGATTTGGGTTGCATGACCAGAATACTGCTTTACAGCTTAATTTGATCAATAGAATTATTAATGGTCATTTAGTTCCTTACAAAGGGGGTGCTTAAAGTACTCTTAAATATCTTGTTGTAGACTAGTTGCCAGTTAATCATTTAAATTTTTCATAGATAAGTCAGGGCACCTGTACTCTTCATGCTTGTAAACTCTTCTGTCTCTCTCTCTCTTTCTTGTATATACACACTCTGCTAGGTGACCCCGTTTATGAAATAAATCCTAAACTTCCCATTTTGTCAGAACTCAACCTCGGTAAAAGTTTTCACAAATAAAACGTTTTCTGATAAAGTAAGACATATCTTAGATTTTGGGGAACTTTCCAGTAGTTCTCATATTCAGAACATGGTGAAATTGCCATTTGTACAAATTGGCAAGCTCATCTTTGCTTTCAGATGGGGCCCTTCTTGCCTAACTACAACTTTGTAATTATAGCTTAATTATGTTCACCAGATACCTAAATGCATCACATTTTCATTCATTCATTCACTTATTCATTATTCCATTCACCAGTAATGTGCTGTTCAGAGTAACTAATAATACTTCAATAGTCTCCACTGCAGATGTACAATTCTTTCTAATTTCGTTTATTTCAAAAATATGAACTGACAATTGGAAATAGTTTAAGATTTTCATAATTTATAGCCTATATATAAAATAGCAATTAAAATAATTTAATTTTTATAAAATATGTCTTTTAGACACACACATACGCACATACGATATGCTTACTAGGCACTGTTGAAGTGCGTTACAAATATTAACTCATTTTTAAATATAATGCTTAGTTTACTGTAATATATTCAAAGCTATAATTTATATACAATATATAATATAATAATTATAATAACAGAATATTGAGTGTGCCAGGCATTTTTCTGTACATTATCCCCAATTCTTAAAACAATCCTACAAAAACAAACCAAAAAAACCAAACCTTTGCCGTTGAGTCAATTCTGACTCATAGCAACCTATGGGACAGAGTACAGCTGCCCCATAGAGTTTCCAGGGAGCAGCTGGTGGATTTGAACTGCCGACCTTTTGGTTAGCAGCCAAGCTCATAACCACTGTGCCACCAAGACTCCAAATAGGTGCTATTATCCTCATTCGAGGAGGTAGACATTGATAATCAGAGTGTCTGTGAGCCCAAGTTCACATTGTTTGAGTGGGGAACCCAAAAAATTGGCTTTTCTGATTCTAAACTCAAGTTATTTTCATTAAAATTCATTCTAAGTAAACAATGTCAGTAATCTTATAAACAAAACTACAAATGCTTATTTTCCCTTTTCCCTTTCCTGGCGCCATTTTGCAATGAGGAGAAGAATTAACAAGGACATCCAGTGGAGGACTTGGTGAAAGGACTTTGAATTTTTCCCCTTCATTTGTGTCCATATAGATGGTACTACAAGGAGCCCTGGTGGCAGAGTGGTTTAAGTGCTTGCTTGCTAACCGAAAGGTCAGCAGTTGAACCCGCAAGCTGCTCTGCAGGAGAAAAATGTGGCAGTCTGCTTCTGTAAAGCAGAAGCCTTGGAAACCTTATGGGACAGTTCTACTCTTCTATAGGGTCACTGTGAGTTGGAATTGACTTGACAGCGATGTGTTTAGATATACTACACATGTTTACTTTATATCATTCAAAATCATTTACTGGATGTTCCATGTGCTATACATTGTGATAAGGAGCATATGGGTGACTCAAACACAAACCTGTGCCATTGTTCACAGTCTTGAGTGGGAGCATGAAATGTAAACAGATCATCTTGAAACAATGTGTGTGAGAAATTTTATGGTAGAAATAAATATAGGACAGGCTACCTAACCCAGACTAGAATGGCAGGGAGAACTTCAGCAAGATATGATGCCTAAGATTAACGAATGAGTAGGGGTACACCGTGCAGAGATGGGTAGGCAAGAAGAAGAAGAAAAAAAATCAGCAGGAAACACATGGAGAGACTTCACAGCATGCTGTGTATAGGGAAATGCTGTTTAGTATTTTGTAATATGTGTAAAATAAGGGAAGGTAAGATAGATAATAAAGATGGTGAGGTATATAAAAGCTAGAACATGGGTGAATTTATCTTGTAGGTTATGAAATGCTGCTGTGAGATCTTTAAGATAGGGAAAAAGCTGTTGAAATTTAGATAGATTACTATGGGCTTGAGGGAACAAAACTAGAGATAGATTCATGTTACTGCGATAATCCATGTGAGAGATGATGAGATAATGCCTTAAGGTAGTGATGTTACAGATGAAAGTACAGTTTTCAAAATATTTAGGAGGTAAAGTGAATAGAATTTATTGGCTAATGAGTGTAAGGGAGAGAAGTTTAGAATGCTATCACAGTTACTGCCTTGGGTGGTACAATTAAATGAGTTAAGAGTATACAGAGAAGGAGTATATTTGGGGGAGTTTCATTTTGGAATAATGGGTTTGAGATACTGATAGAACGTCCAAGTGGACATGTTCAAGAGATAGGTTGATATAAGAATTCGGAGTTTAGGGAACTATTATACACTTGGGAGCCATCAGCATACTAATGGTTGAAAATGCCATGAGAATGGCTGAAAGTGTTCACAGAGAGCAGATAGACAATAAAGTCAGTGGAGAAAACGGAATTACAGACTTGCTTGCTGTACTTGTTCTAAAACTTCTACAACACTGTTAATGTAAGCATTCCCTCAAAATAATTACTGAGTACCTATCTTATGCTGGACACTGAGTTCAGGGTTCTTCAATCTGGTAGTTTTCTCAGTGTCCAGACTTACAGATTTGTGCTCAAAATGGCTTTGACAATTTGGTTTCTAGGCCATAACGTTTGCATGGAAAACTCTCACAGTAGTTTTAATATATTTCAGAATGACTTGTTCTGAAATAAGCTTTAGTTGCCTTTCCTGAAGATTATTTTTTTAAACTTCCTTTCACACCTCTTTTGTCCAGGAAGATCCAGCTCCTTTTTACTTTGTTCTACAAGGACCCACCTTCATCTGGTGAATATAAAAGATGTGGGACAAGAATCACTCAGGATTGAATAGTAAATGTAATTTCTCCATAATGATTTGGATTAAAAACTTCATTTATTCACTCATTTTCCTGTTCTCTACTAATATCTACTGAACTTTACTGAAATGTACATGTTGGCTGTGTGGTCCAGGGTAGGCAAATGAGTCCAGAATGAGGTGAGAGACTAGAATAAAATGAAGAAGTCAAGAGAATAAACTTGTATATTAGGTAAAATAGCAGGTATTGGCAGAATAATACCTGAAGCTAGAGGGAAAGGAGAAAG